CAGGAAGAGGGAGAGGCAACCTTAGCCTCCAGCCATCCTCCCAGCTCCTGAGGTTAAAGAGCCAAGGAGTTCTCTCAGCTACTCCTTATTTTGTTTCGATGTGTTATAAACATGGCCTTCCATTTAAGATGCTTTGCAAAATTCTAGGGGATCTAGTTGTTCATGAGTGACATAAGAATTCAGATCCGGAGAGGGTTGGATACCATTACTGCTGATTAGCACTTCCTACAGAAGTCAGGAATGTGGTCCTCTCCTGTGTTTGTAGAACTGCAGGTAAAGGGTCTTCTGCTCTACCATCCTGGCCAGTTAGGTTGAAAGCAAAAATTAGAAACTACTTCCTGGCACATCTTCTGCACTATAAGTTCTGTTTGGTTGATTCTCACCTTTATTTTCCTTAGCCTCAATTCTATCTCATTCTCAGAAGCATTGTGATTTGTGATTTAACTTCTTCTTTTGGATACATTCCATTACTTATTTATTTATTTTTAGTATTTAAAGTTCATTCCTGTTCTTGTTAGCATATACTCTGTTTTCCCACCTAGAAGTTTCAAAAATATTCTTTCTGGTATTTTAATGCTTTTACAAAATTATTTCTTAATGTTTTTCCACCTGTCATAACTTTCTTTCAATTTTTCAGTACATCACATGAGAGCTAGAAAATTTATACCCAAGAAGCCGTCTTTGTTCTCCAGAGTTATTGTGCTAACCAACCCTGCCTCCCGTTTTAAAAGGTGATGTATAGATCAGACGACAGTGGGAATGATAAGTAGATTGCAGCTCAGTAATAAAGAGCAGGGCTTGGGGATTTGACAGACTTGAATTTTAATCCTGGCTCCACCTTTTTGTATCGGTAAGACTTTAAGCAATCTATGGGGCCTTTCTGTGCCTCATTTTCTTAACCTGTGCAGTATGGATAAAAATACTTAACTCACAAGGTCCCTGTGAAGATGACACAACATCATGTGTATACAGAGCTTCTTGATACAGTGCATAGTCCCCAGAAAGCACTCAGAAAATGGGAGTTTGCTTGGTGTTGTTATGTCCTGGATATTATAAAGGTAAAACTGTTCACTCCACATGGCACCAGGATAGTGAATGTCTGTCCCAGAAAGGCCCAATTCATTGCCTGAAGGATAGATAATTCTGTCTTCTGTTAACCATACATTTTTTAACTCCAAAAATGTATTTCTGAAAAGGATATCTTCATTCCATAAACATTTATGGAGAATATGTTCTGTGCAGGTACCTGGGCTAGGCTTTCTAGGGGATAAATAAAGCCTGGCCCCAACCCTCACAGAGCTTACAAGCTAGTTCTAAGCTAGCCCACAAACAAACTCCTCTACAATGTAATGTAGAAAGTGCGCGTGGGCTAGGCTTTCTAGGGGATAAATAAAGCCTGGCCCCAACCCTCACAGAGCTTACAAGCTGGTTCTAAGCTAGCCCACAAACAAACTCCTCTACAATGTAATGTAGAAAGTGTGCATCCTGAAAAATCCACAGAGAAAATGCTGTGAAGGGTCAAAGAAGGCTACATCATTTCTAGCCAAAGATGTTCAAAACCAAACACACTTTCCCCCATTACTATAGCCAAATTTGTTCCTCTTCCAGCATTTTCCATCTCCATGAATGGATACCACCATATATGTTCTGTTGTTTCGGCCAGGAATCCGGGAAGGAAGCTCTCTTGACCACTTCCAGGTGGCCACGAGGTTCAGCCGATTCCACCAGCTTGGCCCTCCCTAAACTTCTCCCTCTTTCTCCACTTACATTGACCTGAGTTGTTCTCATGCTTTTGTGCCTTAGCATCTCTCTCCTGGAGGGCTTGTTAAAACATGGCTGGGCCTCACCCCCAGAGTTCTTTCTAATTTAGTAGGTCTGGGGTGGGTCTTGAGAATCTGCGTTTCTAACGTGTCCCAGGTAATGCTGCTGCTGCTGCTGATCTGGGGCCCACCCTGAGAACCACTGTCTCAGCCCGTGCCCTCATGTTTCCTGTTGGGATTATTGCCCAGTCTTCCTAGCTGAGCTTTCTGTCTCTAATTCTTACCCTTCTACTTCACATTCTCCATCCTGCCCTCAGATCTGGGGGATAAAAAAGAAAACCAAAACATCTTTTCTGGCTAGCAATTGCCTGCAGGATAAATGTTGAGATTGCTCACATGTCCTGCAGTGCCCTCTATTATCCAGCTCCTACCTAACACTCTAGTCTCCCCTACTACCTTGCTGGTCCCATACCCAGCCCCCGGCACACTGAACTCCTGCAGTTTCTTAATACCCAGGTCATTTTTTGCATCTGCTGCAGTGCCTCGAATCCCTTTATTTACTGGCCAACTCCTTTGGGCCCTTCTAGACCACTGGGAAACATTCCCTTGGGGAAGCATTACATCTCCATCTGCAAGTAGGGAGAAGTACCTCATCTATGTGCCTTCTGCCCCACGGTGCTTATCACATGATTTTACCTGCCTCCTGGTCCCTCATCCACAAGACTCTGAACTTCCTAACAGCAAGAACCAAAGCTGTTATCTCTATATCTACAGCACAGCCCCAAGAAGTACATTGCCTGATACAGAGTCAGAGATCAATGGATGTTGAATGAGAGGGGAGATCCAGAAAGGCTACCTGGTGGAGGTAGGCATTTTAGCCAGATGTAAAGAGTGGTTAGGATTTGGACATGCAGAGAGAAGCAGAAGAACATTCCAGAAGAGGGAGCTAGAGCCCGAGTTTGGACTTGGTCAGGCTTTGGTGCGAGCAAGGAACAAGGAACGGTCTAGTTTGGCTGGCCACTGCACGTGTGGTCTTGAGAGCCAGTGGAGGGAGACAGCACGGGTGGAATTAACATGACTCAGCGAGTGATCAGTCAAATATGGGAGTCCAGGGAGGACCTGCGGGAATGTGGAGGGTAGCATTAAACAGAACCAGACTGTCCGGAATAGATTAGGCTGAATTAAGAGTAAATATGAATAAGCTAACTATCCTGATCTAACCATCATACATTGTACACAACTATTGAAAATCAACTTTGTACCCCACATGTATGTATAATTATCTTAAAATTTTTTTTTAAAGAGTGAAAAAGGACAAGGATCGAGAGTGTGGTTCTGGTCATGGTGCACTTGGGGCACCACTAAGACACAGTCTGCTGTCTTCTTTATGTCTCTCTGCCCACCTTATTCAGGTTTCCTCCCCAGTGCCTGATAGGTGCTCGATGAATGAATATATGCATTGGAAGCAGAATAAAGCTGGGAGTGGTCCTGCATGAGCCAGGGAAAGAAGAGGTGGTTGCTGGTGATTTGGGGTAGTGCCACTGCCACCCATGATTCCATCCACGTGAGGAAGACTCAGGCTAGAGAAAAGGCGGGTGCTGGCCATGGTTAGGGGACCAGGTGAATGGCCTCAGGTGATGGGCAGCAGGAGCTCAGGAGGCCATTGCTTGTCACTAGAAAGGGGGAAAGTCTTAGCATTTGTGAAGATTCAGTGACACCTTGAACATGGTGCCTTAAACCTGTGCTTATGGTACATTAAAGTGATTTTAGGGCCGAGCCCGTGGCGCACTCGGGAGAGTGCGGCGCTGGGGGCGCAGCAGCGCTCCTGCCGTGGGTTCGGATCCTATATAGGGATGACCGGTGCGCTCACAGCGCTCACTGGCTGAGCATGGTGCAGCCGGTCTCAAAAAGGACAAAAAAAATAATAATAATAATAAGTGATTTTCTTCTGGTGTGCAGCAGCAAACTGTATGAGAACTGAAATGTACGCTCTGCCTTCCCTGTACTAATATAATAAACATGAGCATTAGTACCTTTATTCTATGTTTAAAGATACGTCTAGAAAGAGTTATACATTGTCACTGCTAATCCATTTTTCCTTGTGAAATAGACAGCTTTATGACTATTATGACACTGTTCTCAAAACTTAACCACTACTGTTCTTCCATTAAATGTAACACACTGACATGTGTTTAGAGAATGTAATATAATGTTGAATATGTGAAAGACATGGTTCTTCTGAGCCATGCTTCCATTTTTCTTGTGCACTAGGAGGAAGCTTTCTTGTATGACTTATGTGTGCAGCAAAATATCTGAATAAAAATAATGTAGCAATTAAAGCATTAATGGTCTTTATATTAAACATACACACAGTCAAGAGTTATTTTTCTAAGCAGTCATCCTCACTTCTGATGTTCATCTAAAGTAGCAATCTTCAATGTGCTTTTTTAAAATTCCACAGTATCCGTTTTGATGGGGCCAATTAGAAAACCTGGGGAAAGAATTCAGGAAGTCAGGGAGTCATAAGAATGCTTGGAATTTCTAACAGATTTTACTAAACATTTTCTGTATCATGACATGTTCCAGAAGACCATAAAAGTTAGTTTATATGAGTATAAACTGCTTTTTGCCTTGCTGATAACTGCAAATAAATAATTAAAATGACCACCCACCAAAAAAAAAAAAAAAAAAGAGCAAGACATTTGGGGATTTGTGCGTTTCCTATGAAATATTTTCCTTATAAATTTTTATAAACAAAAAGAATAATAATGCAGTCGGACCTCATTTTATTCCCATTTTAAAATTCTGCAGCACTAGTTTCAATTTTTCTGTACATCCCAATGACATCAGTCTAGAAATATAAGATAATGATTAACCTCTTTTCTTGATTGGCTTTAAAAGAGGGAATTAAAAGCATTCTTTTATTTGCATTTCAGTATAACAACACACTGATTTCTCCAGTTGAAATTACTTAATCTGTCACATTGTTTTCATGGTAGCAATCAACTAAATTAGATACAGGACCATGAATTTGGGTAGCACTATTTTATTTGCTAAGAAGCCTTATATAAAAGTTCATAAATGTTATACAAAGCACAGCTGTTTGGCCCTGGTCCAGCGGTAATAAGTGGGAATAAAAGGAGTTGAATAGTTGAATAGTTGAATAGTTGATAACCTTTAGCTTAATATGGCTTGGTAAATTAGATCCTATATATGCTAATTATGTACTTTTTTTAATAGATGGAACTGATTAAAAATATAAGTACTGCCGAACAACCCTATTTATTCACTCGACATGTTCACTTCCTGAACTTCTCAAGGTAAGACATTTTCCAGTTTAATAGTTCTTTCTTTTCTTTTTAGTACTTAGAGTCCTTTTTTACGAACAATTACTTTGGAAATCTACTTTTATTTACAAGTAATGCAATTGTCCTTGAAAAGACATTTTTAATCCATTTATTTTTGGTGCAGAGGGATCGAAATTAGAAATATTTGGAGAGAAATTTCATTTCTTCTTAGAATACCATCTTAAATCTTATGAACACTTGGAGTTATTTTTAATGAGAAGCCATTTGACCTGACAATTCTTTAAAAAAAAAAAAATCCAGTTTTATATTGAAACAAATAAGAAGGCAAGAGATGGGTGTTTTAACATAAATATTTTATTGCACAGTTTTGTACAATTTGAACCTGCAGAACTCTGGAAATAACTTAGGAGTGGAGTAAAGCGTATTTTGTAGGCTCCAAAGAGCTAGTCCCAGCCTCTCCATCTACCTTTTTAACATTCCATGTGATTACTGTATGCCTTGCATGCTTGATGTTTTTGAGGTATTTTAGAATTGTTTTTTCTTCAGTGGCCTTCTAACAATAATGTAAATCTTCAGCTCCAAAGAGCTAGTCCCAGCCTCTCCATCTACCTTTTTAACATTCCATGTGATTACTGTACGCCTTGCATGCTTGATGTTGGTGAGGTATTTTAGAATTGTTTTTTCTTCAGCGGCCTTCTAACAATAATGTAAATCTTCGAATTTATGTTTAGACCCTCAATTTGTTAAATTGCTAGCTTCCCGTTCTGTGCATTCTCTTCTGCAGTGGTCCATTAGCATTGGTTTACTGTCCCAGGGCCTCGCTGCTAAACCCTTAGGTCCCTGCTCTGCCCCAGCTGGCCCATGTCTGCGCTTGCTCACAGTTGGTATCTATCAGCTGACAGATCACTGGTTCCAGGAGCAGATCTGCTGACCAGCCCAGGGCCCCTCGGCCTCCTTTGTCAGCTGATGTCACTTTCTCATTTTAACTTGAGGATAACAGTACTCACAGGCCCACAGGAGAGCCCAGAGCACACAGCCCTGCGTGAGCAGGCAGCATCTGCTAGTTACTACGCGCTACCTAATGGGCCCTGAGGGCCAGGCATCCAGGGAGTGGGCTCTGGGGGAAGAAGGGGGCTCTGGCCTGAGCCTTGGCTGCTGCTGCCCTGCCCCCGATGCCTGACAACCTGCCCAGATGGGAGAAGGTTTTAGCCTTCAAAGGACTTCCCTGCTGTGCAGCAGCCCTCTGTAAATTAAGTGTAAATAGTATGAGATTCGGCAAAGCAAGTTATTAAGCAGAGAAGAGGAGGTGCTGCCTTATCTTTAAAAGTGAACTGGTTTCCCTTGAAGTTTCCTGCCTGATAACCAGAGTTTCCATGTATAGTGAATAGGACACCTGCAGATTATCCACAGTGACCCAGGGCCAGGCACTGGGCAGCTTGGAGTGTGTTTCCAACCACATTTATCAAGGGACTCATTACTGGATTGTCCGGAGTATGTGCCTTGCCTCTTACTTCCAGAAGGCCAAGATCATATCATTAGACATAATCAGACAATGAGGATTTGTTCGCTATTTCAGGCATTGTGGTTTATGATTTGTAAAGAGAAGAGCAGCGCTTCTATGATCCTTGCTTTGCTAGTGAGCTGCTTTCTGCATCATCCCTGATGTCCTCAAACCTCATTCATTAACTCTACTTGCTTCATAAGTCAAATCTTTACAACCAAACAAATTGCAGTGCGACAAGTTTTAATAATTATCTCAGGACGGTGTAAAACTCTACTGAGAAGCCAAAGCTGATATCTCAATTGGATCCGCAGAGCACAGCATGGTGGCCATGTTTTATCACAGCCTCTACCATCAAATACATTTACGAGAGTCTGGTTTTGATTGCTTTAATTTTGAAAGGAAAAAATTGATAAATGCCTTTTAGAAGATATCACGTGTGCAGAGAATGGTGTTGTCCTGGTCATCAGGACCTCCGGGTGTCAGAGCTCGCCCTCTTTCTGCTTATGGTTCTGTGTGAGATGTTTAACCTCTTAAGGGTCTCTGTTTTCCCATCTGTAAAATAAGGACACACCTGCCCACCCCCAGCTTGTAGGGATGCTCTGAACATGTGAAGGAAAGCCATCACAGGAAAGGGACATCATTAAATTCAGAGTGGCATGTAGAAAGCCATTTCTGCAGACGTCTAGCCTGAGCCCACAGTTCAGCTGCTGACTGTGTAGCCTGGCATTGCTTCTAGGGCAGCACCCTGAGGGCGGGGCCAGGCTGTGTTTCTCCCCCCTGCATTCCATTTTTCTCAGTTAAACGCATGTTTGTGGAGTTCCCTCTGGCTTCTATACACTGCACTAGACCTGGGCTTCTGCAGCGAGTTCACTCACCTTCAGGAAACCTGAAGTTCTTCCTTGAAGGAGGAAGTGCAATTAAGCGTGATGAGAGGGATGGGTCAGCTTTAGACACATGCAGGAGAAGGGCATTCCCAGCACAGGGACCAGCAGGAACAAAAGCCTGACCCAGGGAGGAGCTGGAAGGAATGCAGGCAGTGCAGCCCCGAGGGTGGGCGCCCTGCAGGGGAATGGCCCTGAGGGTGAAGTCAGGGGGGTAAGACGAGGGTGTCCCGGCCAGCTTTGGCAGCAGTCCCCCCTCTTTTCCCACCCCCACACCAGGGCCTGGGGCCTTAGCTACAAGATGTCCATAAAAATGATAAGAATGATCAGTTGAACTTTAATATATGACAGGGCTATTGTTAGACTCACAGAACATGGGACATTGAAAACCAGCTTTTCTTTTTTTAAGGGAATAGCTTTATTTGCAGAACATTTCCTAGGGACAAATGGCATACTGTGGGCATCCAAAGAAAGCCCCAACATATACAGTGGACAGAGAAAAACAACTAAGTGGGGACTTGTTAAGAGGACTTTAACATATTTTAAAAATGAATTCTATATTTTGAATTATAAGGGGAAGAGATTATTAAACTGCTCTTAAGAAACCTATGCTTACAAACTGCTGACAGGTATATAGCTTATTTCAGGGTAACAGGGTTACTATGGGAAGAACTAATACTGCAACCTAATAATGTTCTGTGTTGATATTTCTGATCTTCCCTACACCGTAAATGTGCAGCGAGACACTTGCTGGTGTGCAGACTGTGAGATAGACGGCTGGCCTCTCTCCCACACATTCTTTTGCACATACATGGTCTGAACTTTTGAAGGGTATGGCATTATTCCAGAACTAATTGGCCTTTATTTCTTTTTTTTTTTCATTAAATATGGTGTTGTTACATTGAAATTTTGATACCCTGAGGGATGTAAAATGCCGTCCTGTGAGCTTTTGGTAATTCAATAGTTCTCTCTTTTTTTCTTCCCCAAATTATAAGGAACCATTTGGCGATATCCAGTTTTATTAATGCAACCATGGGAAGCAATAGGATCACACCAATCCGGTGTTTTTGTAGTTGCCTCAGGCTCCAATGCCAACACTAACTTGCAAAACCAAAACATTTAAAAATGAATCAGTCCCCAGAGCGGCAGGTGCAGTGTAATGTGCAAGGAGAGGCGTTCGGACACTTTCTCTCTTCCCTGGAAGTGAAATCTCAGTCACTGCTGTGAACAATGTTCCTCACACCACACTTCATGAACATCATCTGCCCTCTGATGGCGTTATTTAACAAAACAAATTAGATCTTGCTAATTCCATGATTCAGTTCGGTTTCCATAGCGTATTTGTAGATGTTGACGTTTTTTATTCTCATAGGCAAAGTGATCCATTTTAATTCTGTGCCATTCAAATCTTTCATGATGCAACAGAAGCCTCAAACTCTGATGAGAACACCAAAATAAGAATTGATATGAGCAGTTCACACCATCTCTACCTACTTAAATATAGCACAGCAGTTCAATTCAGAAATGTTCATTTTCTGTTTGTCCTATTTAACTGCTGCTGGACTATCTTCCTGTCCCGTTTCTGCCCCAGGGCACACCAGCTCTGTCAGCCCATCAGGACACTGTGAGCTGGACTTGCCCCCAGCCCACCTCACTTCCTGCATATTTCTCACCTTCTCCCTCATCTTCCTCTCCCTTCACCCCATGGGTCTAATCTCTCCACCTCTCTTCCCTCAGGACACGTGGAGGGCAGAGTGCAGCTGTCTCTTCTGCTTGTGTTTCCTGATGGGACATGCCCACTGCTTGGGGTCGTGAGGAGGGAGGGTGGACCTCCAACACCAGGCTGGCCCCAGTTGATGTTCCGTGACTGCCAAGGGCTGTCATGACTGTGATTGGTTTCCAGCAAAGGACCATCACATGCCCAGCTCTAGCCTTCTCCTCAGGCAGCTCCTCACCCGGCCCCCAGACAATCCTATTTTTTTCCATAATGGCCTTCCTTTCACTTCAAAGTGTTTTTCTCCCTCACCTACTGGGATCAAAGCCTCAGCCTCTGGCCTGCAGTACTTTTCATCTTTGAATGTAGGTAGCAGCACAAAGATAACCTCTACTTCCAGGCCAGAGGTTAAAAAGAAGATATACTTGTAGTTAGTTGAATGGTGGTTACCAAGGGATTGGCGGAGGGGGAAAGGGATTTTTGTTGTTGTTGTTTAATAGGTACAGAGTTTTAGTTTGGGGTGGTGAAAAAGTTCTGGAGATGCATAGTTGGTGATGTTTGCATGACAGTGTGAATGTACTTAACACCACTGAATTGTACATTTAAACATGGTGAAAAGGGTAAATTTTAGGTTTTGTATATTTTAGCACAATTTAAAATGAGAAAAAGATATACTTTCCAAAACTGTTTTCAGGGGCTGGCTGGTTAGCTCACCTGCTTAGAGCATGGTGCTAATAACACCAAGGTTAAGGGTTCGGATCCCAGTACCGGCTCAGCCACCAAAAACAAAAACAAACTGTTTTCAGTCAGAGAAACTCTACTGTAGCAGGAGGATGAAATGGTCCTAATTCTCCTAAATAATTCTGATCTCAAGTCTTGATTTAATATATGCAGTATTTATTATTATTGCAGGAAGAATGCCTTCAGCATTTTGATGAAAGTATACCTAAATTTCTTACCCAAGTGTTTTGCATAGCTATTGCTGAGGTGACTAATATCGTTGATGGGTTGCTTACTTGACTGGGGTAGCAGGGTAAAGAAGATTAGAGGAAAATGCTCAGAATGAGATACTTAGAAATGTCTCCAAGAAAATGAGAACCACACAGTTATTATTCTCAGAGGATTATATCCTGCCTTGGAGCTTCACCTTCTCATCAAAATAATAAATAAAAAATTGAAATTCAAATTAAAAAATATATAATAAATTTGCAGAGAGGGTCAGAAGGAGACCCACAGGGGTGATTGTAGAGTTTGTAATATGACCTGTGAACAAATGTCAAAGAAAGTAGTAATACCTGCTATTTTAGGGTGACTGGAAAGAGAGCTTCAAATATGCAGTAGTAATTGTAGGGACCAAGGGACAAAAAGTAAAAAACAAAACATGGCCTGACTCTTCTATTCTGCAGTGTATGCACAACTCAGGAGCTATGATCAGATGTAATCGCCACAATTTTTAGAGCTCAGTAAAGACCAAATTAGAGCTACAGATTGTAAAATGAAGGGAAACAAGTCTTAAAACAAATGCCACTGGAATTTTGAAAAGAAACCAAAAAAAAAAAAAAAAAGTTAAGGAAATTAAAACTGAAGCTGAAAAGAGAAAAGTTGTAAAAGCATATGAGAAGTTAATCCTTTGTGTGGAACAGCTCAGGCAGAAGGAAATGTGTATAAAAGGAAGGTTAAGAAGTAGACTGCAAATATCAAAGACTCCCCAACTGTCAGGGTGACCGACAGGATGGACTTCACAGGGAGGTTGTGGAATTTTTTCTCAAGGGGTTCTAAAATAAGGCAGAGTATTGTGATGAATGAGATAGTGGACCACAAACCATTTTCCCCTACAATGGAGTCACAAGGAAACTTTGTAAGAGTGACCAGGAATTCTGACCAGAACTTAAAAATACTGAGAAAATAGAAACCAATTCTGAAAGAGGATGGAATGAGAGTAGGAAAATTTGGTTCCCTTCTCAGGCACTAAGACACATGGTGTATTCTGGTGCTATCACGGTGGTATTCTGATCTCTTATGTAAACTGACATGCCACCCCAGATTTCATCAATTTGGGAGGGAGCTGTGTGTACAAAAAGGACAAGGATTGGCATCCTGAAACCATTATTACTGTTTCCTTCTGGAAAGGGGGAGCTAGAAGTCAGACACTGTTCTCATAGTTAGGAATTTCTAGACAGAGGCTATCATATCACCTGATACTTGACAATAAATTCTTAAGCCATTTAAAACTTTGCTTTGGAAAATTATTCTGGAAGTCTTGCATTGGGTTAGAACGTACAAGCAGAGCGAGTCGTCCATGCTCAACCAGCCTAGTCCATCCTCACGACTGAAGCCGCCGATGGAAAATGGCCTGCCCAGGGTCGTGAGGAGGGAGGTCTGAGAACCAGCTGCTAGCAGGAAGCTGCTCACTCATGCACGTGCTCAGGCAGTTCTGCTCATTAGTGTTAGTTCCTCACATGAAGGTACAACTACAGTTGAGGTTTTTAAAAGCACAATGCAGGGCCGGCCCGGTGGCGCACTGCTACAGTGCGCCGCTTGGGAATGCCGCGGCGCTCCCGCCGAGGGTTCGGATCCCACATACAGACCAGTTCCCGCTCGCCTGAGCGAGGTGCGGGAGCAACACCGAGGGTTGCGATCCCGTTGCCGGTCCTGGTCCGGTACGGGCGTGACACTGAGGGTTGCGATCCGTTGCCGGACACGAGAAAAGACAAAAAAATAAAAATAAAAATAAATAAAAATAAAAGCACAGTGCAATTTTTGAGAGTCTAATTGGATTCATATTTGGTATGCATGCTTTGTCTTCCTGGTCCCTAGCATTATTACTTTAGTTGCTGTTTATCACAGATATGAAACCTAATTTAATTAAGAGGATGATAAATCCAGGATGTGTATGGTGTTCGCTGGTGGTTGACACAGCTAACTCCTGGGACTACAGTTAGTTATTCATTTAGTTACCTGGATGCCACCTTGATTACATCGTGGAACGGGCAAGATTCGTACCAGCAAAGCTAACCCTACTTGTGAGCAGAGTGTTTTCTGATGTGGTGGTATTTGAGGATTCCAGAATATCATTTGCGTGTCCTGGTGCCTGAAATTCCACTATTGAAGAGTCATTCTTTTTTGTTCCCTTGGTTCTTCTCTCTGAAGATTCCTTTTTAAAATGCAAATAAACCAGGGACAACATTATATGAATTAATACACAAATAAGGATTGGTGGCTTGTTATGTCTACAGAGCTCTGACAACAGAGCTTTCTAGACACACACCTAAACATTCAGTTCTTCATTCCATCTTATTTGCTGAGCACCTACTGTGCGCCATGCACTGTGCTAAATGACATCGTTGCTGGCTGCAGGAGGCTCACAGTCTGATGGGGCTTTGGGCACAGAGGAAAGAGTGGGGAACACAAGGCTGGGAGTTGATTGCTCAAGGAGGTGATGGTGATTCTGGGCTGGGTTTTGAAAGATGAGTGGAGTCTGATGGATGGAGAGAGGCAGTGGCAGCGTCCTGTCAGTTTGTTTTCTCTGAGCTCTTTCTGACCCTGACAGAATGTTTAGGCATCCTCCTCAGAAGGTCGCAGGGTCATCCTCATCAGAAGGTCGCAGAGCATGGCCCTTGCCCAGAGTCTGGGGTGCTTTCCCCAGATTCTTCAGGACCAATGTTTCATGCAATTCAAAGAGAAAGGGGAGGCATCCTTCACAAAAATTCACCCAACCTAATCACTTTGCCTTGGGAAGCGCTTGCCCTTGAGCCAGCATTTAATACATTTGTCTAATCCCTTTGTGGAGAGAATTAAAATGGATATTTGTTTTGTTTCTATCTAAAACCACCGGCCATCCTTAAGGATAATTACACTGATTTTTGTTTTGTTCTTGATATCCTTCCCATTATTACTTTTCTCAACTCTAGAAATCGCCTTTCCATGATTAGGAACACAGACTCTGGAGCCAGACTGCCTGGGTTGATATCCTGGCTCAGCCACAAGTTATTCACCCTCTCCCTGCCTCAGTTTCCCCAGGTATAAGTGAGGATAATTATGGCTTCTACTCCAATGAAGTGTTCTGCAGCCTCAGTGAGCTGGTCACATAAAGTATGTAGAACAAGGTGAACAGCAAGTGCTCAGTAAAGACTGACATCAATCCATGTACTGCAGACCACGTTGCCTGGGACTGTTTAAATTACAGCGTAGAGTAAACACTGTTTCACCCGGCAAGGTCATCAGAATTTACCAGTCAATCGAAATAGTCACTGAGGGCCAGTGGGAATGCAAAGTCCAGCACAGCACGGTCCTGTCCTCAAGAGATCTACAGCTTAGTGAGAAAACCAGACAACGTCTGTACCTTAACGTTGACAAATAGCGTGGTTTGTGTCGTGCTGTCCTATGAAACAGTCCTCACTGCCTGTCAGCAGTACCTGGAACAGGTGTCACCACCTCCATCTCCTGCATGATAAGAAAACGCCAGCCAGGAAACACGGCTGACCTCCTAAAGTGTTTGTTGCCACCTTGGCAGATGAGGTCACCTTTTGAGGATAATTCAGGCTAGAGGGGAATCGTTATCTGAGTTGGCCTTGTTTCCTCCAGAAGCGATGGCTTGTAACGAGCTCCATGTTTGTGTGTGCGTGTGTGTTAGGTTTGGAGGAGACCAGCCTGTCTACATCAACATCATTAGAGACCCCGTCAGCCGGTTTTTATCTAACTATTTTTTCCGTCGCTTTGGAGACTGGAGAGGGGAACAGAATCACATGATCCGCACCCCCAGCATGAGGCAGGAGGAGCGTTACCTGGTAAGTCCCGCTGCTTGGAAGAGGCGGCCTCTCTGCTGCCCAGGGAGTGGCTCTCCCGGCTGGGAAGTGTCCCCACCCCCACGGAGTTCAGCGTGGAGAGGACACATCCTCAGCGAGGAAGTTCTGGCCAGTGAAAACTTGTTCCAGGTGACCCAGATCCTAATGAGCATTTTATTAAGTTGATTTCCTAATTTTGCTTTGCTCAGTTTGTCTTTAGTTTTAGGTTCTGGGTCCCAGAGGAGAAATAGTCTTTTCTGAGGAGTCCTGATCAGCCTGACCATGATTAAGTAGAACAAAAGGGGCTGGCCAGTGAGCTCAGTTGGTTAATGCACCGCCTTATAACACCAGGGTCACAGGTTCAGATCCCCGTCCTAGCCAGCCACCAAAAAACAAACAGAAAATTGAGGACAACACACGTGTTTGGGGATCTCTCTTAGAAGGTTGCAAAGTCCTTTCACATGCCCCATCCCATTCAGTTCCATGGCAACCTTATGAAGGAGAGGTCTTCAGGTGAGGACCCTGACACTCCAGAAGCACATGGGACTTGCCAAATCACCCCTCCAGTAAGTGTACAACCATGACTATGGTTTCCAGGTCCTCTGACTTCAAGTCCAGGCTTCTTTCCACCACAGCACAGCAGAACCACGCACCACAGCAATAACTGTTGGCTTTTTCTGGACCTTGTTTTGGGACCCTCACCTCCGCAAGGGATGTTAGTTAGTCTTGACCCCAGTAATTGTTTCTGCAGCGTAGAAGTTGTTAAAAATGGAGGGCAGAGTTATGCATATTTCTTCCAGCACCAGAATAAAGGTACATTTCTCCTCCCTTGTGACTGATGCTGACCAAAGCTTACTGTGTAGCTGAGAGCCTGGTGTTTAGGAAGCTGAAATCCTGGTCTGAGAGAACCTGTTGGGTTCACCAGCCCCCTCCTGGGCTGTCCGGCACAAGCAGGAAAAGAAGAAAGTACCAGAAATCAGCTGCATGTATTCCCACTGCTGGAAAATAGCACAGTGCCTCTGCCCACAGCTGATGGGTCCTGAGCATCGTCCCGGGGCTGAAGAAGAGTCCGGTTAGTCCCAGTACCAGCACCATGCCAAAGCTGCTGTGTCCTCGCTTCGTTTTTAAAAATGCAATAAAAATAGATGTTTGGAGGCTGGGAGCATTTGGGGATGATACCACCTCAGTGTCACTTTCATGTCTTAAAATCCATGATTAGATTCGAGAACACTGAGATACAGAGAAGTGAGGTGGCTCGTCCAGTGCTGTACAAATAGTTAGTGGACGGGCAGGGACCAGACCCAAGGTTTTCCTCTAACCATTCAGTATTTGTTCAGCTACCTAAGGCTTTGATGAAATATTTTGATGGTATATTTTTAAAGTGGCTTTTATCTTTCTTTTTTGTTGTTGTTTTTTAGTTTTTGATGGCAAAAACTTTAATCTTTTTCTTTAAACCATATGTTGTGAATATGGCTATATATTTTTTATTCAGTGACAAGTATGTATTAGGCTATAGAACCCCTTACTAGAGGAATAATGTCTTCTCAAACTATCTTTATTGTTTGAATTAGATCTTGATTAATGTATCGATATGTTCTTTTAAACATAGAGAAAGAAAACGAGTATGTTCCATTTAACCAAAATAGTATTTCAAAGCTCCCACTCAATCCTGATACTAAGAAAGTTAGAACCAAATGATAGCAGAAAATACTGAAAAACCAGAGATGGAATCATATCTCAGGAGTACTTCTCTTCAAATATTAATGTCACAGTAGAAGGGAATTCTCAAGGTTTTTCTCTTCTGTCAGGCTTTTTTTTTTTTTTACATCCTATAGATTATTCCATATAACATAGTTCTTCACACATTCCCATAAACAATAAACTATAATCATTAGGGAAGTTGCAAACATGAGGGAAACAATCATGGTTTTAATTTTTTTTTAAAAGCTCGTAAATTGTTGAAAGTTGGTAGTGGAAGCAAGTCTTCTATTTTTGAAAAGCTGGTAATTGCCTTTATGATGTGACTTGAGAGATTCTAGGGGAATTTCCCTGCCTGGAATTTTACCCTCAGAGATTTGTAGGGGCCCCCTTTCCAAATGTAAGCAGTGTGTGTTCTGGAAAGGTCTACATCAGATGAGCTCATCAGATCAATTCTTGGCAAGGCTGCAGTGGGGAAGCACAGGACCCCCCAAAGCGGCAGAGCGGAAAATCGGGGAGCTGGGATTGAGGCAAGGAGGGCCTGGGTGGCAGGAGACAGGGAATGACTTCCTCATGACCTGTCCCCAGCCTGACCTGGCTAGAAGGCTGTTTTCTTGTTCAAAGGGATAGTTTATTTATTTGGAAGAAGACAGTCTATTGCCTTTTTTTTTATAGCTGAAACTTTTAATTCCATCTCCTTGATCCCACCAGACCCTTGAAATAAAATTGCCCCCTTTCAGAGTCTGTCCTCATTTTGGCAAGCCTGGGTGGTCAGTTGTTTGACTCAACAGAGAGTGTTGTTTGTGTCTCAGTGGGGCATAGGCAGCTGTGAGGAGACCACTGTCCCCTCAGTGAGCCCTGGCTGGGGGCGAGGGCCTGAGAGGGGTGTCGACCCAGGCTGCCGGGCCACCCCAGGGCACTGTACACACACGGGTCACGGGGCTGGCCTGAAATGGTCTACTGACATTCCACATTATTCCAGAGCTCAGTATGTCAAAGCCCCTGGCTTTATCCAGTTGCCAAAAATCGAGCAGTTCTGCTGTTGGCCCTGAGCCTTGCAGAACTGCTTAGCATACAGCTGAGAGGGGCCAGGGCCTGCCTGCGCTGGGGGTGAAATAATATCATCTTGTGATGCTGGGTGGTTTGGAAGAAAATGGAAAAGAGATGCTAAGATTTTCAGGCTCCCTTGGAGATGATGAGGGTTCTTGTTTTATGGTGTGGGGACAGGCCTGGACTTATGGGTAGGGTAGGGGCCCCATCAGGTGTAGAAGCCCGGCATCCTGACTCCATAACTGCTGTGTACCCACTCAGGCCTTAGGTTTTTACTTCCTGAATAGTCAAACAAGAAGAGGACTCGGCCAGTCCATGCTTTTTGAACACTCTCATTTTATGTAACATCATCTGTCTGACTTTACACACACATCAGTATTATAACAATTTGCTTTCATATATTCAAGCATCTTATAGCTATTCCTCCTGTGTTCTGGAAACAATCAGGTTTTCTAAAGCTTTCTATTTTTTTCCAAACCATTCTTCATTTGCATTTACCAGAAAGTGATTTTTAAATAAATTGTTCCTAGCATAGATACAAATTCAACTTGTAGCAGCCAGGATATGAAAAGGTAATTGTCTTGGACTCATTTCTCTTAGTCCAAAGCCAGAAACTCGGCTCCCCAGTGCGGAGGGGGCTGCCTCCTCTCTCAGGTTGAGAGTCATCTGAGCCAGGCACAGTTAAACACGTCCCAGCATGAGACTTCTCCAGCTGCAGTCTGGGCTTCTTCATTTCCAGGGTAGGGAAATACCTGGCACGCAGATGCATGTAAGGAGAGAATGAATGACTTCTCAGGAAAATCAACTGCTGTAATGGCCAAGTAAAGGAGAGCATCTCAAGCCTGCTAAAACCACTGCCTTTTCCAGTCTCTGAGCTTCCCTGAAAATGGATTTCTCATGCTGTCATTTTCACTCTGCCAGTTACACACACATGACCTGGGCTTGCTGTTTGCCTACAACCTGGCCTTAGAAAATTTCATAGTGAAATATTCTGTGTAAATACCACTTTACACTTCCAAACTCCAGAACATGTGAAGTCAGGGTCCTTTTCCAACCATTCTTGCAACCTCACCACAAGATCCTCCATTTCAAGAGCTGGAAGAGAGGGGCGAAAAACTTTCCCAGGGAGAAAACTGCCTCTGTGATACTGTTTATTCATTTTGGCTATAAAGCGTGGAAAGTAATGCATGTTTAAAAGAAAAGATGCGTAATTTACAGCTTCTTAATTCATAAAGAATTCAGTGAATCATGTTGGCCCCCTTGGATTCTGGAGAAGCCTGAAAATTGGCCAGAGTCAGCAAAGGTCTTCAGAAAGCTATGCATTTTAATCTGCTTGGAAGTTTTGGACTCTGAATGTCCTTTAGCTTTGGAAGGACACATATGAAATAGTGGTGTGTGGAAATTTCCACTCTCTCCTGACCAGCTGAGACTGTCCTGTGAATGAAACCCCAGGCTTTGCCTCTGTTCCTAAAGCATCATTTTTCTCAAAGAAAGAAAATAAATAAGGGATTTGGATTATTTGCTTTTAAGTGTTTCAGTAAATATCTATGATTCCCAAATCTTTGAAGGTTAGAAAGTAATGCTCTTTTACTTCAACTAGTTTAGCGTTGGCTTCTCATCGCAGGCTGAGACAGGGACCCAGGACGGGGTACTTGTGTTCCCTTCTCAGCTGCCCTGCCTGGGTGACATGGCCAGCAAGTTAGCCTCTGGGAGCCTTACTTGTCTCATCTGCACAATGGGATCATAATACCTACTTTGCCTGCATCTCAGGGTTATTGGAAGAATCAACTAAACATTCTACACAGAAGTTCTTGGAAGCTAAAAATCTCCAAAACACATTTCAGTATTGATCCTTTCATCCCTTTAGCTTGGCTGGTGGCTCCACATGACCTAAAGAGACATTTTTCCTACAGACGTGGAGCTTCTCTGCTCAGGGAGTCAGTAGGACACACTGGGGCTGGGCCATGTGCTGAGCCCTCGGGTCTACCTTTGCTGAGCTCTTGAATTGCCTCAGGAGACCCCTCCCCCCTGAGAACTTGTTTTTAAGGAAACTGCTTCTCTTTGTGTTCCCAACAGCTGGAGATATGTCTTGACTCCCTCTTGCTGGCCTGCATTTGTCCCGTGTTTTTACTTGGAAACCTAAGCTCATGTAGGCAGGGGGTTGTAAAGTCACATTAGTGGCCCATTCTCACCCTCCAAGGGGTGGGGAGGAAAGGTACACAGGAGCCAAAATGCTCTGTCATGCTAACGTGAGC